GGTAAGCCTCTCTTAAACTAAAGGAGGTGTTGGCAGAGTTCCGCCATATGGTGAAGGGAAGCAGGCCCTCGGGAGCCGGGAGCCCAGAGCCCAGGTGTCAGCGGCCAGCCCTAAAGGCCTGGGGCAAGTTTTTATCATGACAAAGAACATCTTTGCAAGTCAACTGCCTATGGCTGGAAGAAGCCAAAAAGCAGACCCCCTCCCAATCCTCTGGCCCTAATTTAGTTTAGACTGTTCTAGATAAACTTGTCCTCACATGGTGTTGAACTTGGGGAGGGAGTTCAGACCACAGCAGGGGGCAGCCCGCCCCTGAGGTTAGGCCTGGGCAGCCCAGCGGCGGAGATGGCCCGAGCCAGGCTGGGTGCTAAGCTTGCAGTGGGAACCCCAGTGTGAAGGTGGGGGTGGCTGGAGCAGGACATTCCTCAGAGGTCATGGCACTGAGCTGGGGTTTAACTTTCTTTCCCCCCCTAATTTGCCAGAGGGCACATGCATGGCCACGCCACAACCCCTCCTCCTCCACTGCTTCCCTTTGGTATTCTGGGCATGCACACACGTGTGCTTGGTATGTTTTTCAAGCCACCGGTTCCAGGACTCAAACTGTGACTGCCCCCACCTTTGTTTTAAATTCTCCAGAGGGTACGTGTGCTAGTGGGGGGGGTGCACCCCCATGGGGCATGGCCACGAAGCAGTCCCTTCCCCATCTGTCCACCCTGTGGGTTTGGGGCATGCACGCTCGTGGCACTTCTCATACCGCTGGGTTCCATACTTGAACTATATGATTAGCCGTGCGGCTCCCTGGACAGGGAGGCCACAGGGTTGGGGCGGACCGGATTTTATAAGGGAGATGGGGCCAGCTGACAGCCCTGCCTTGGTAACCTACTCCGCTGGGGCTGGGGCTCTCCCCTGTGCTTGCCTGGCCGCCCTGTTTTCCCTCCTGGCTCCCACAGCCCCCCACAGCTGGCGCCTCGGCCTCCTCACCCAGTTTACCCTGCAGGACCCTGTGCTCCAGCCTCACCCCTACCTCAGGTTCCAAACTGCTGCTACTGGGGTCCAACAGCCTCCTGCCACCTCGACCCCTGACCTGGGGCAGGAGCACAGGGGCATCTTGCTTTTCCCCTTTGCATCAGCTGCTGCTTCCAGTCTGCCACACAGAACCTGTCTAAGAAATGACAAAAAGCGGGGCAAGTGGGTGGCGTGGTGGTTGAGGCGCTGAACTCCTGCATGGCTAACCACGGTTCGGATCCAGGACCCATGCCGGGTGTGTGTGCGTGCCCAGGATCCCAAGAGGAGAATGGAGAAGGGACTGCGGGTGCAAGTGCCCTATAGAAAAAATCTCTTAACACACACACACACACACACACACACGAGACAGAAGCGGCAGCACTGAGGTCAGTGAGCCCGCCCTCCCCCAGCTGTTCTCACTCTGTTCCCCTAAAGACCACTGCCCTCCAGGCTACACGGAGTCCTGCAGGGCGGCCTCCCTGGGCTTGGGTTGTGGAGCGTGTGGAACACGCAGTTTTTGAGAAAGCATGTTCTGTGCTGTAAGTGTGTCCTCTGGAATGAAGTGAAACAGCAGAGCTGGATGCCGACACCCTAACAGGGGCACTGCGATGCAGCAGGACACCCACGCCCTAACAGCAACGTCGCAGCGCCTCCGGACGCCCATGCCCTAACAGGGATGCTGCAGCGCGGCCGGACGCCCACGCCCTAACAGGGATGCTGCAGCTCCGGCCGGACGCCCACGCCCTAACAGGGATGTTGCAGCGCTGCCAGACGCCCACGCCCTAACAGGGATGTTGCAGCGCGGCCGGACGCCCACGCCCTAACAGGGGCACCGCAGTGCGGCCGACGCCCACGCCCTAACAGGGGCACCGCAGTGTGGCCAGACGCCCACGCCCTAACAGGGGCACTGCAGTGTGGCCAGACGCCCAAGCCCTAACAGGGGCACCGCAGTGTGGCCGACGCCCACACCCTAACAGGGGCACCGCAGTGCAGCCGGACGCCCACGCCCTAACAGGGACGTCACAGTGCGGCAGCACATGCCTTTACATGGCCACCACTCTGCGTCTTCTTCCTGGTCTTGCCCCCACAAGGGCCCGACTGTGGAGGTCAGGGATCTGTGTCTGTTGTTCCCAGTGCTGGGCACAGGACAGTAGCGAATGATTCTCGGGAGCAGGGAAATAGGTGACTCTTTGGGGACACCTGGCATTACCAAGGTCAGCCACCCAGCAGCGCACTGGAGCCAAACAGCCCCTCCCAGGGCCGCTTCGCCCTCTACCCTTCCTGGGCACCCCAACCAGTGCCCACCGAGCAGACCCAGACAGACCAGGGACCTGCCCTGGGGGGGCCCACTCCACCCCTGTCCCCAAAGCCACCTCCAAGCTCTCAGCAAGATGCTGGAGGCTCACTGCTCCCGACCCTGGCCTCAGCAGGCCTGCCCAAATGGTCCCTCCAGGGTTTCTGAAGCTCAGCTGTGGCATGTGCACTGTGAGCCAGGCCGTGGCCCCTGACCAAGACCCTGGGCATCAGGCTCAGTGCAACCTGCCCGCAGCGCAACCCCACCGTAGGGCCATGTGCATTCTCTTATAACAGCAAACTAGGCCGTCCTGCCTCCTCCCCGTTTCTCTAACAGCTCTGCCTGACTGCCCCGTGAGCAGTAACGGCCCATTTTCTCCTGAGCCCCCACATGGGGACAGACACCCAGCGATTTGTGCCTCATCTCCTGAGGCAACTGAGGGACACCCAGCTCCCAAGGGTTAAGTCACCAGATGGAAGATGAGGACGGGTGACAGGACAGACTTAGAACCTGTCCTTGGAGAGCTCTGCCACCCACAGCCACCGCCTGCATGCTTTGAGTGTGGGCTTCTCCTGGAGCCAGGCCACTAGTCTCCAGGCTGAGCCACCCAGCTGGGCAGAGGCTGGCCACTGCAAACCGGGGCCTCCAGACCCCAAGTCCAGCAGCCCTCAGGAGCACTGCACTAGGAGTGAGCAGACCTGGGTTTTGGGTCTCTGCCTAATCAGTGTCCTATTTCAATTCTAGAGTCCAAGGAGCAGCGGGGCGCTGGGCTTCCCCTGGCCTCTGCATTACCGGGTCTGGCAGCACCCACAGTCCTGGGTACCAAACACATGGAACCTTTGAAACCCAAGCCCGCCTTCCTATGAGACCCAGGTCCATTGCATGCCCCTCCCGACTTCAGACACAGCAAAAAGGCCTTGGTGTGTGACCTTGACACTGGCACCCATGTGTGCTCTTAAAGGAGGAAGCTGGGCCCTGCCCTGAGGCTGTTACCAGACTCTCACTGCAGAGGAGAAAGTGCCCGGACCTGCCCAGACCGGCCCCGACCGCCCCGACCCGACTGCGCAGACTTCCTGAGGCCTTCGGGAAGGGCTAGGCCAAGTCGCAGACTGGCATCCTCCCCAGGCCCGGGGATCTCTAGCCACTAGAACGCCTTGGACTCCAGGGTACGCATCACACTCGACTCACCTTCCCGACCCCCGCCTCGCTGCTCCCCTCGGCTCTCACCTCCTCCAGCCCCAGCCGCGCTGCAATCCATGGCTCTCACCTGCCCCTTCCCCAGCGCGCGGCTCCCCATGGCTCTCACCGACCCCCGGCCCTCGCCGCGCTCCCCACCGTGACCTAGAGCTCTCCAACTCGGGCACCTTTGCCTACTTCCCTGTCCTCTGACGCGCCCAGCCTGGAGGCCCTCGGATCCACCCCAGTCCACCCCGAGTCGTGGGCCGCCCCCTCGGGCCACATCGCACCGCAGAACGACACGCTGCAATGTGGCCCGCAGTTCT